AGATTCCACGAGCTTTCAACGATTGTCTGAATTGTCGTTTGCACGTTATTTACATTTCGATCTAGAAATTTCACTAGCAAGGTTCGGGCCCGACGTGGCACAAATGATGCGGGAGAGAAAGGAACTGGACCCAGACTTGTCGAAGAAGGAAATTCGTGAGCATCCGGAGCTGCCGGGAAACAAGGCCGTCTCTGTCAAAATGATTCATTCTAATTCTTTTTTTTCGCACGCACATATTCGCGACAGGCTGGAATCACTGTTTGCAATCTGCTCAGGAAGCTCAGCAGTACCTTTGCTTAGTGGAGGATTTGGAGGAGGTTGAAACGGAAGAGGAGTTGGAGCAGCTGTTCAGCTGTCTTGATGAATCTGGCAGCGAGGCATCGTCAGATTCATCTGGCCCTGGTCATCGAAAGCATCGCAAGGCCATCTCGTAGTCACCGTTATTATCGTTGGCGGCATTCCTTTATAATTAATATAAGTGCAGCGGCTAGCTTTTCGGTGTGTTACTACAGCAGGGGAAGAACAAGAAAGAAGTCAAGAAAGATAAGAAGAGGAAAAAGAAGGAAAAAAAGACTGAAAAGACAAAAAAGACGAAGACCGCAGAGGAGGAGGAAGCAGAGAGAAAGAAGAAGGAAGAACAGGAAGAGAAGCTTCAGTTGGGAAAGGATGCCAAGAAGGCACTCATTGATCGCTATTTGGTTGTATTTGGTGTGTGCTAGAAAATTCATTGCAACTCTCTAACGCGGAGGCTGTCAACGATGCTAGCAGCAAACTCAAGTGGGCAGTTGGCTTGCTTCCCAACATGGCTAACTTGCCAAGCCCTTAAAATCTCAGCTCTGTTTCACACAAGGTTTCCAGGTATAAATACTAGCTATAGAATATTGATCAAACACTTTGGCGGTCTCAGGAGTGACAAGTTCCGGACATCTGTGGAGCAGGATGTGAACGACAAAAAGTCGAACCTGGAGGCAAAATATTGCAAACACCTGGACGGTATTATTTCACTCTAAATGAAATGTGTTTTATTTCCTAGACCGCTTGGCGTTCGATCCACAGATCGATCTGTATATGCTCCTACAGGCACAGCGTGGCAAGCTCCAGACGGCAATGGACAGCAATTCCGTGACTTGTTCAGGATTAGAAGGGGGTGTGCGGCCCATGCGACCCACTGAGTATGCTATTTGAATCTTGTACAGTCTGAGGTGACACGACAGATCGTCCAAGGGTGTGAGGAAGCGAGGAAGGAGCTTGAGACAGCTTGCGAACCGCTCAAATCGAAGAAACTACGAAAAAGCTAGACTTGAGTCCCTGTAGCCTGAACTTTTTTGAACTTAGTAGCATAGCTATAGAGTGGCAGAGGGTTTGGCAAGCGCAGAACAACCTTGGTCCGCATTACGTATCGGTCGAAGATGTTGTAAACGAAACGCTTTGAAGTTTTGATGTCATGATCAGAGCAAGTTTAAAAATATCAATCAATCCTGTTTTTGTGGCGGATCAGGGTGCAAGCCAAACATTGGCATTTGTTGGTTTGAAGTCCGGGTAGGTGCATCCGTGATCATTTGTGTGGGTGACAGCCTGCTTTCATCAGAGCAGGTTGCAGGGGTTCACAAAGTGCTCACTGTTGTGCACATAGATCCGCTTCGCTTTTGAGTTTGCTGCCGCAGAAATTGTGGCCTTTCAAAGTTCAGGAAAGATGCGTGCATTGCTGACACCTTCTTTGTCTAAAGCAGCTTTATGAAGTACCTGTTTGCATCTAAAAAGAGCCGTCGCAGGTGATGATGTGCATGGACCTTTGGAACAAGATATTTCAGAGCGCTTGGCATCTGGAGCGATTTGTTGGCAAATAGTCTATAGTGCCAGTTGCTCACGAGGGAATTAAACTGATTGTGCGTGCAAGGAAGCTAGTGCTGAGACATCGATGCGGTCTGCCAGAGCAGCCTTCAAAGCCATTTGTATGCACGAAACATGTTCCAATCACAAACTTACATGATGCAAGTAGTATCAACTGAGTTTACGATAGAATGAAGCTGCGCAGTGTTTCCAGTGCTCGGGCCCGAGGAAGCTCAAGGGAATACGACTGCATGGACTAGAAAGCTTGCGTCCTATCGAGGCCTGACAAACCAGAGCCGTGATTTTTGGCGGGCCATTCGACTGCCTCTTGAGTCTGAGCGCTTTGATTGGTATACATTTGCTTGGTTGGGCGGTTTTGGGCGGTATAATGTTGAAACCCCCACTGTGGTCACTAGTGCCTTTGTCACAGATGTTGACTTGTTTCTTCTACAGGCTGTGTGTGTAAGGAGCCATCGTTCGTGAAGGTTCCGGTGAAAGTTCAAGGTAGCTCATCCACAGAAATGATTGTGGAAGAGGCTTTGCCGCTGCAGTTGCCCCACAAAGTCTTAGCCTACTTGATGACAGAGTGCAAACTGGATTCCAAGATAAGCCGGCAGTGTTTGATTGACTACTGGAATCATTTGGACTCTGTTGGCCACTCATTTGCCAATTCCACCAAAGCTTTTCGGCAAATTCATGGCAACGATCGGGTCTGTCCGGTGGGGCTTTATGGAGATGAGGCCGTCATAGGCCTCATACACGCTCCACAAGCAAAGCTGTATGGTTTTTTCTTATCAGTGGTTCCATTCAGACCGACTTCAACACGGTTGTCACGGTTCCTTCTTTGGAGCATTCATTCGAACAAGATCGTCAGCACAGAGGAAACATTGTACCCTCTGCTAGCTGCAGTCGTTGCCTCCTTGAACAAGGCGACAGAAGAGGGCGTGAACAACATGTATTTTGTAACATCGGAATTGCGGGGCGACCAGGTCTACTTGCGCAGTCTATTCAGGTATCAGGCGAGTTGGGTATCTACATCAGTCTGCTACAGGTGCAAGGCAACTTCGCATCCAACAGATATGTGTTACACGCACTATCCAGACCAGTCTGCTGATGGATCTGGTTGGGAGGGGACCCTGCGGTCTACTGAAAGCTTCATCCTTGAAGAATTGCAGCTACCCTTGTGTCACTGGACTCACGTTTCGGTGTTGAATGTTTCACATTGTTTTTTGAATTATGCATTGCATTCAGGTTTTTGTTTTTGCCTGCTATGAGCAAATCAACACTCATTCGACTCATTCGAGGCCCTTTGGTCGATCTGTATTTCTTCACGATCGATGTTATCCAACACTGCACTCTTCACATTCTCAATTTAGGCCTTCTTGGAATCTCAAACGGTTCAACCTTGAAGCTCGATCGATCTATTGGAACTATTTGTCATTGTTTGCTTCCGGGAATTCTCTTTGCCCATTTTTGGCCACTGGTCGACTATGGTTCGGGGGATGGGATTGTAAGGTGCGGGTGTCCGAGTGCTGGCGGCTGCGGCTAAGGGGGATGATGATAGAGATGAACGTATTCGGCACTGCCGCAGATGGTCTGGCAGGACCGTTGACCGAAGCATTTAGACAGTTCCGTGATTGGTGCAAGTCAAAAAAGATCAGAAGTTCTCAGAGACCCTTCAAGCCTCGTCACCTCGTTCGCGAAGGGTATGGCTACTTCTTGTCCACTAAAGGTTTCAACGCAAGACTGGTATCGGAATTCTTGATGGACAAGATTTCGGAAGTAAACGCGCATCCAAATCATTTTGAGCAGTTGATTGCAGATGAAAGGGCGGTGTTGGCTGAAGGTGCATTGATCCCAGGAAATTGTTTAGTGCATTTTTCGTTCAATTATGTACAGTCTGGTTTTCGAATCAATCGCTCCTGTCAATCCTTCGATTTTTTTTGGCTGCCCAGGAAAGGTATAAACCGCTACTTTGGGTTGACAGAGAGATTTGGACGGGTCTTGCCGCTGTGATGCAAACTCTGCACACGACGTGTTTTCGGGCAAGGGGATTCCATGTCACGATAGTTCACTTGTTTTATCGGATGTTTGAGGTCACCAGAGCAAAGCTCACAAATCGAAGAGAGTGGGAAAACCTACTTGATCCTCTTCCTTCGCTTGAACCACATGAGCGTGAGGACTGATAGACCGACCGACCAAAGAATACATAAGAAACGCATATAAATTTGGTTTGAACGATAAACTCCTGAAGGATGGGAAAGCTTTCGTGGATTATAGTGCCGAAATGGCATGCCGCTTGATCGATATTAGCAAATGTGCATTGGAACGACGCGCGCGCTAGCTCAGAGAAGGGTGTGTGTGTGTGCGTGCATGCACATGAGTTTCCTTTCTGATGGCTGGCCTTCACAGGCTTTTGCACACGTGTTGGTGGAGGGTGTCAGACAAATGCGACGCATGGCAAGGGCGAGCAAGGTTTGTTTACTTAGTTTACTTTGTTGGTTTTGGATTGTTGGGTGAAAATGAGACAAGTCCGACAAGTGAACATTTTGGCCAACCAAGGATTGAACCCTCGATTTCACCATACATTCACGGATGAAGACCAAATGGGAATCCTTAAACGCTACTTTGGCAACAATTCAGGTCAGTTTTTATTCCCTTGCTTTTTGGGGTTGTAGAGCATCACCAGTTGAAATTCAATTCCACGTTTGCTCGACTGCCCAAGGCTGGGGAAAGAAGGTGGCTACTATGCGGCCCCACCAAAGAGAGTGGGGCATCATGCGCCATGCGCGGGCCAGGTTTAAAACCTTGAGCTGGCGCATTGAACAAATGAAATTGAAAAGAAGGTGAGAAAAGACCGTAGTTGGAGAGCGGATATGGGATGGGTGGTTAAACATAGCATTTGAAGGTTAAACATCGTATCTTCACAAATGCTAAGTTTAACATCGTATTTGATGAAATGCTAAGTTAAACATCGCATTTGGAATCGTAGGGATCCTGTGCCCGTTGCTGCCAGGCGGACCCTTCGAACCAACTGGTTTGATGTCTATGTGGTTACTTTGTTTGAGGAAAAACAACCTGGCCATGGTTCCAGCATGCCTTGTCCATCCCGGAAGAACCACTCTGGGAGTTGCAACTCCACCAGGTGTCCATCCAGCCCATCGAATCAGGCCAACCAGCGCCGGTTCCAGCCGCGGAAACGTGAAGAGGCGCTGGACCGCTCTTCGTGTCGGTACTTCCGCGGAGCACAGGACTCGTCGCTCAGGACTCGTCGCTCTTCGTGTCGGTCTGCATGGAAAACCCCCGGCGGCCTGGGAGTGAATTGGACTCTTCTGGAGCCCAGACGCGGGGTCGGACCCTTATGGAGGGGTCTGGGGTCTCAAATCTCTAATTATGGTTTTGAGGGTTTGGAGCGTCTGTGTGGGTCATGCTTTTTAAGTGGCCCTATGGGTGAACCCCCTGGCATGGGGAAGGACAGTGGTTTTCCAAGTTAGCAGGACTGTTGGTGAAGTTGGTTCAGCTGATCTTCAAGGCAACCTTGTCAGACTTTGACATATTTTGCGGGACAAAAGCCGGGAACCCTGGTTGACCAGACCACACAGAACATGTTCAGAATAGACTACTACTGTATATAGGGATTACGGAGGTCAACCTACCAGGGTGCTCCAAACCCGTTCAACCGCACGAAATCGTCCGTGAAGTCATCCGTCAAACAAACGGATGTGCTCCAAATGGATGGAGGTCCAATGGATGGAGGTCCGGTCATCACTCTTGGTGTCATTCTGTGATTTTGTGTCGCAGGATGTCGCAGGTGAAAACGAGTTGGGAGTCCGTCAGATGTGGCGTTTTTGTTGAATCTGGCGTTGCAACATCATTGTGTTCACCATCCCACCTCGCCTCACCTCACCTCACCCCAGCCACACCGTGACATAAGCGGGTCCCTTTGCCATGCAGTCATGGATGCATACTGCACAGCGTGTAGGTCCAACTCGCTGGGACCTCAACTTGCAATGACAAGGCTCAAATACCCACGAAAAACAGGTTCTACACTGGGGGATTCTTGCTTGGCTTAATACCAAGTCTAGGATGCTTGGTGCCAGAGTTTTACGTGTACTACTACCCGTGCCGCGCAATTCTATTTCACGGATCTTTCTGTTGGCAACATTGCTGTACCGCCATCCTACAGCCCCCAAGATCATCAACCCTTGCGCACCTGTTTGTTGAGTTTCTGTGAACCATTGGCACCTGTTCACCAACCAGCCAGCCAGCCAACCAACCAACCTCTACTGGGCCTAGTCCCGGCCTGTGCGAAACGACGGTCAGCGGACACGGTCACCGGACAGGCCCTCCAGTGCCGGCTCCTGGGCCACTGCCAGCCGCCCGCAGAGCGCCGTGTCGCGCAGGAGGCACGTGATGGGATGCTGGGGGCATGCGGGTGCGGAGCTCAAATAGGGAGACCTCCCAGGCTCCCAGGCGTTCCGACCCTCTGGCGTCGGATCGGTTCAGACCGAGCCACTACGGGGTCATTCCCAGATGGAACAAAAATGCTTGATGTTCGGTGTTCACTTTGGGATGTTGGGTGGTTTGGGGATGGATGGTCCGACGGTGGATTTCTTTGAGGTTTCTGTGTCTCCTTGACCGCTCTTCACTCATACATCTCTTCGCAACATGTTTATGATCTTCTGGCACCTATACCCTAGCGCTTGAAGAACAGGCATCCAATGGACACCTACTCGTACTAAGTAGTGTGGGGTTGTCTGAAGCAGCTGGTACATTTATTTACAGTGGTTTCACAAGTAGATGGCACTGGCACCCAAAAAGGTGCAGGCCCATATAGAACAGCAAAAAACTGGGGGGCCCTTGTGCCATCTAATTTTCACCACATGTATGTGGGTGGTCAGCTGTATCGATGGGTGACCAGGATCGACTGGCGACCAATTGGTGTGAACTTGTTTAAAAGTCGGCCATTGGAATTGTTCACCACTGGCGTGTTGCTGAGGTGAAGTCATCCGCAGAGTTGTTTGATTTGTATCTTTTTGCAGGTCTTCTGGAGAAGGTTTGGTGCTCCTCCAAAGTCGGCCCTTTAGGCCTCAGAAGCCTTCCACTTCGCTCGTCCTCCGGGGTCGCCTCCTCCAAAATCGCCCACGGACCGCTACCATCGGTGACACCGGTCGGATCACGTCCGGACTGTGGTGTTGTTTAATTCATGATAGCACCGTTTGTTGGGAGGAGTGAGAACCATGGACTTCCCCGGATCAAAACAGAATTCATGGCCAACATCCATGGTCAAGTTCGATCTCGTTGATCTCATGTTTTTCCGATTGGAGTTGAATCATGGACACCCTTCCCTTCTAATCATCGCCATACAGCCTTGCCTTTTCGGAGTGGTTGAACAGAGATGTTTGGGCGTCAACCACGGTATTGAACGGACCAATGGTGATCAAGCTTCTGATTGCTGGGTGGCCACATGCCGTGGTCACCGCCAAGTGGGCCACGGAACAGCAGGCGGGGGGGACGGGCTTCGCCAGGACCAAGGAATGGAAGATGCCCGAGACCGAGCCAACACCGAGTTTGTGGAGACCGGGCGGTCGTTTGTGGAGACGGTCCATGCTGGTCCAGAGCTGTAGCTTCTTCCGAACGCTTCCTTTAGCTTTTCTGGACTCTCAACATCAATGGCCTTCTACTATTGGTTGATCAAGACCTTCATATATCCCCATATAGATATTACATATTATTACATAATATATTGCTATATATAATGGTACAAAATCGAATCAACCGGCCCCTTTATTATCCCCAAGGCCATACATCATTGTCCTCAAAACCCGCAGGAATCATGTGTTGACCTGGTCGCACCTGCAGGAGCCCCGCCGACCCATGGCCGGCCTCCCCTCAGCGGGGCACCGTACTCAGTTCTACGTCGATTGATGCATGGAATTCGAAGGAGGTCTTGAGAGGTGTGAAAGGACCAGAGTGCAACAGAGTGCGCTTTTCTTGGGATACAAACAGTTCTTGGAAAAGGTTAAGTTACTGTAATCCTTTTGTTCCAGGGAAGCTGGGCCCGTCGGCCGGTGTTCAAGAGAGGGGCCCGGGGATCTACAAGCGGAAAACCGTGCGTTGGCATACGGGTGTCCACAGTGCTCAACATCGCTCAATGGTGCTCAACATCGCACAACGGTGCTCAACATCGCACAACGGTGCTCAACATCGCTCAACGGTGCTCAACATCACTCAACGGCTCAACATCGCTCAGACAGGGTGCCCAGTCCGCCTGCGTTCTTTTTTTTCTGTTGGAATACGAACGACTAAGACGCGGACGTGGATCGGCGCTTTACATGGGTGGCTTGTGGATCGTTTTTTGGATGTTTTTGGTGCTTGCACCTCGTTGGCGGAATTGGAACGGGCGTGTAGCTTACACGTGAAGCAATTTTCCGTACCAGCTTGGCCTGGCACCGATATTCTAGTGCATTCGCAGGGGCCTACAAATTCTTGGCCCAAGAAATGCCTGAAGAAATAATCCAAAACCAACATGCAATTTCTCCTCTAGATGTGCAACCTCATCTGGGTGGTCTTCCAGATGGAGTCTGGCAAACTCATCCCAAACAGATCCGTTCAAACCCTTAGTTTTCAGATCTCCAAGTGGCAACCACACTATAACAAGAGCCTGAGCAACATTCTTGGATCACTTTGTTTCTATGAAAGAAAGACCATATGGCTGGGCCAGTGGCTGGGCCCCCCCGCGCGCAGGGTCGTGGACCTGTTCCCAAGGCAAGTCCCGGCACCAAGCACCACCGAGCTGCCAAAAGTACTTGCAGGCCGCGATCATGATCTCACACCTATCCAGTCGGACAACCTGCCCAACCTTTGGATCGGGGACCGGGGACCAGTCCAAGCTTTTTAGGGGAGCCCGTTGACACCCGACTCAACGAGAACACGCGGAAAAAGGTTCGTTGTATTACTGTAACATACTGCGTCCCTTTGTTTTCCAGGAAAACTGAGGGATTCAGCACAATTCTCAAGACACTTGTGCGTACAAGTTGGAGCAATATCATGCAGTATCCAAAACAAGACTGAAGAGTCTTCAGAGTTTCCACATCCATGTGGGGGTTTTAATGCCATTCGCATGAGGGAGCCCTCAACCAACCAAGCCAATTGTTTCGCTGCGTGGATGGATTACAAGCTCTCCGTCCAAAGACGTCTTAGTAACCGCCTCTTTGTTTGGGTTGGTGTTTTGAGGAGACCCCCTCAGACTAGGCGTGTGCGACCGGTGGCTCAACCAGGTTTGATTCGACCTCGAAGCATCTTCTACATCATATATGTCCGCATCCGCTGGAGAATCAACATCTCCATATCTTTTGAGGGCTAATCTTCTTATGCAAAATGATCCTCCACCAGTCTGGGATGATGTGCATTTGTTCACCAAACAGGTTGACATGTGAGTGTGAGTCAGGCTTGCCAGCTGCATGCAACAGTGCCAGATACCTTGGACTTCAACACAGGTCCGGCTTCGCGAACGCGTATATGTTTTTCTTGCATTTTTGGGAGGTGGGGTGGGTTTATCACCATTTTGTATGCTTGTGTTGCTTTTGTTTTGAGATGTGCCTCGTCAAAAGAACCGGTGAGGCGGCGAAGAGCCAACCTGATGTTTTTTTTCCCCATTCTGATCATCTCTTGTTGACTTGCGTGCCGATTTCTGTGAATCTGGACACGTCCTCACCGATGCGGTTCTTCACCCAGCTCACTGAGTTCGCAAGCAGCCTGCTTCAGTGCCCATCCGGTCTCGCCATCAGACTATATCAGACTCATACTGACTCATATACTAGACATTTTTAGACATAAAGGAGACTGAGACCTCATCTCCCACAACGACCGCCCCCGACCTTTCCCAGGCCTCTCGGACAAGCTCTCGGCACCGCGCCGCTACATTTGCGACGCCGACCTTCTGGCGGTCGCAGGCGGGGCGACCCGCGCTCGGCGTCTTCGGGAGCGCGAAAGCGGTCGGACCCAACGAGTCAGAGGTGCGGAGTGCCAGGCATGCTGCCTGCGAGGGACCATGTGGATGCGGTGGACTTGCAGGAGAACAGCAACCTTACGGATCTGAGCCTCGTGTGTGGGCCTCAGGCCTCCAAAATCTGCACAGACGACAAGTGCAGAGCGATGGCAGAACAAGTCAGGGCCTTTTTGTCCACATGTGCAGGGCCTTTTTGTCCACATCAAATCCTGTTTGGAGGGAGAAGCAACCTGTCACAGTCGACCCTATCCTAGGGATCTACAACTCGACTGTATCCTCCTCTCAGGCCGTTGCTGGAGCAGTTTGTCAAGGCTGGAGGGTAGGATGAACAGCAGCAGGGCTGGAGGGCGACTGGAGTCGGAACCGGAACCCTGTGACTGGCCGTGACTTTTGTTGGGCGATTCCAGTAGACTTATGAACATTCAAGAGGCCGAACGAGCATCCTACAGCCATTTGCAAGACATCTCAAACACGGCACTCTCTCTCTCTCTCTCTCTCTTTGTCTTTTTGTACCCTGTTTTTGCTATATTTATTACTATGTATTTTGTGTTTCTTGTGTTCTTTCCTTGCCCTTCCCTTCCCTTCCCTTCCCTTCCCTTCCAATTACACTCCTTTTCCATCCTTTGCTCTCCTTTTGGCTCCGGTTATATCCCGTTTACATCCTTTTGCATCCTTTCCAATCCTTTTTTTACATCCTACTTGTCCATCCTATTTCTTTCCTTTATCCGTCCTTCTTGCTTGCTTTGCTTGGCTTGGCTTGGCTTGGCTGCCTGCTGGCTTGCTTGCTTGCTCGCTTTGCTTTGCTTTGCCTTGCTTGCTTCGCTTTGCTTTGCTTTGCTTGCTTGCTTGGTTTGCTTGGCTTAGCTTGCCTGGCTTGCTTTGCTTGCTTGGCTTTGCTTTGCTTGCTTGCTTGGCTTTGCTTGATTTGCCTTGCCTTGCTTTGCCTTGCTTGGCTTGCTTGGCTTGCTTGTCTTGCTTTGCTTGCTTTGCTTTGCTTTGCTCGCTTTCTTGCTGCCTTGCTTCCTTGCATGCTTGCTTGCTTCTCGCTCGCTCTCTCTCTCTCTCTCTCTCTTTATCTTTTCTTGAATGCATGAACTCGACGTGCTTCTCCATCTCACGAGACCCGATCCAGGTGGAGCTCCTCCTCCCCCCCGTAGAAAGAGCCATACATCATCTCACTATCAACCGGAACCGTTCCGCCCGGGCACCCTATTCGCTTTCTCCCGGACCAAACAAGACCGAGGTGGACCGGCTGGCGGAGGGCCTTCGGAGGTTGAACCTCAAGTATTGCAAGGCGAGAGAACTCACTTAGACTGAGAGAGAGAGAGGGGGAGGAATTCGACTCTTGATTAAGACCCCCCCGACAAGGATCGTAAAACCAATGTAAAAACTTAAAATTATATCGTTAATCAAGAGTCTACATTACAGTGATGAGGAGTTACTGTGAGGTCTCCTTACCATAAGAGGTCAGGGGGTTCTGGAGTTAACTCGTTCCCGGACAGAACACCCCCTGCAGAGGACAAAGGCACACGCCTAACAAAAAAGAATAAAAACAAGATGAGCAAGGGCCTCCAAAGTTCAGAATGCTCCACTTCCATTTTTCGTTCAATATAGGTTGTTGGTCAGCATGTTTTGAGCCGATCGAGCACGTTTGGCAGTCACCACTGAAACAAGCAGACTTTCCGTTGCGTAGCAGTGCAGATCATGACTGGCGATGGGAGGGCCATGAGGATCAACAAGTTCCCTTGAGAAAATGACCTAACATGATGCCATCATGTTTGGAATATTTTGTGAAGAAAATCGCCGCTTGGCCATCAAAGAGCTTTGGCCTTGGTCGATTCCAAACACCTTTCGCATGTCCAAACATCGGACGTCGAAAGATCATAGACCCGGCAATCGCGTGGAAGATCGCGTGTTTTAGAATTGGTTGTCAGATGGTTTAAGGGAGAATCTGCAAGAAACCTATGCGTTTGGGGATGAAAATCCATGGTTTCCTGTAGATGTTCCCTTAAATCAATTCTGAGAGGGTGGCTTCGCCCAGGGCATCAACTGGCTGGGTCAAGAGACCCTCTTGCGGCTGATGAGTAGCGCTAAGAACCTGAGGCGTGGAAAGGACGAGCTTTGACAAGCGGCGACTGGACGGGTGACGGGGCTCCTTTGAGCCAACGTCGATGCTTGGGTTTCGATGGTGTAGCAATTCACTGATGGTCGATGGTGTTGCTTTCTATGGTCCTTGTAAGTCGTCCTGGAGGCGTCATGCCTAGGAAACGAATGATGTGAATCCTGGGTGGCACAAGTCCATTTGGAGTATCATGGAGGCGTATCCAAGAGATTTGGATGTCAATGTGTATCTTCTCCCTCCAACGCCACCCCATCAGTCGATCAGCGAGTGGGTTTCTTTGTGCGCAGGGAGCTGGACCTCTCAGGGGTGCCGATTGGCATGTGAGGGGCCCCAGAGCGGGCCCGGGGCGGGCGTGCAGCCTCGGGTTGACACACGAGGCCAAGACCAAACGGCAGGCGCATGTCACAAGGGATGCCGGCCAACACGGCAAAGTTGGAAGGATGAAGACTGAGCGCGGCAGGCACGAAGAATCCAAGGAGTATACAGTACACTGCAGATAGCTCATAGAAAACCTGCAGACAGCACCCTGGCAGCAGATTGATGAAGATAGTTCTGTCATCCGCAGTGGTGACAGGACCCGAACATGGTCAGGTTTGGAGATGTTGGCCCGTGAGGGTTGCCTTCTGCCTTCTCGGGAGCTCGTAGTTTTCACAAAAAAAGAAAGAAGAGGTTACGAGGTTCACTATAGTTCATGAGCAGTTCCTGGTGCATACTTGGAAAGGTCTTTCCCAAATCCGCAGCACTGCAGGCGTGTGCAGCGGCGCTTGTGTGTCGCTGTGGGGGATCATCCCCATCTCATGCACCTCGGCGGCCCACTGGAGTGAGACTGAGGACAAACCCAAAGACACCGATGGGCTGAAGAGCGGGCTGAAGGCAACCTGGATCCAATCACAGATGACCACTGACCTCGCTCTTGATCTGGTGGAAGTGGAAGGCTTTGATCGGACCTTTGCTGGTAGCGAGCTCATCTTGGGCCAAATGATAAGCCATCTACCAAGGAGGCTGCAGGTTTCTGCCAAAGACCAAAGGATGCCAATCCCTGTATAGAGGTATACCCAGAGAGACGTTGGCAGGTCACTCTGTGGCACGATATTGCGAAGACAAGCCGGTGACCCTCATGTTTGGCAGTTTTGGATCGTGATCTTGCCAGGAGTGCAAGACACTCCCCGGCTTTTCCAAAAAATGTTGTAAAATTATTAGTTTTATGTTCAATGCATCTCAACTTCATTGATTTATTGTAATGCAGGCTTTTACCGCACAACCTTTGCTTATAAAGGACTTTGATGGATGTTGGACATTTTGGACTAGAAAACGAGGTCAACTTTCAGCCTTTCTTTTCATCGTCTTCCGTTCAGCCAGGGTATGTTGGCACAGCAACGCTGGGGCCCGACTCGTTCATCGACCGTTTGCGAGGTCGATCGGCCTCGCTCGTGTGGGCTTGGGTGGCCACATGCTCACCAAAGACTGCCTCCACAGCTTGCTAGGCGTCACGGGCCTGGCAGACGCACGGGCGCTGTCGCGTGTGAGTGTTTGTGTGACGGGACGAACTGGAACGTCAAGACGAGATGGTGTCTTCGTGAGATCGTGAACGGGGCTCAAGATCACAAGCAGGAAGCATGGAGCAGCGTGTCAGAGAATGTTTCAGGAAAGGGCATGCCGCATGCTGCGCGTACTTTGCGGACGAACAAGCGCTTCAATTCCGCGGATGCACTGTGCAGATTGAGCTAACACCCTGTGTCAGGAAGCCAAAGCAATCAACGGCTGGATTTGAGCTGGAATGTCTTCAACAAGCAGGCACGTGGCGGGTCAACCTGCTTGCGCAGGTGTTCGGTGTCCATATCACCTTTTTGTGCCATCCTAGCTCGACGAATGTCGCCGCTTGTTAGCCACTGACTGTGACTGGACTCGTGACGATCGGACCTTCAGAGCGATCGGTTTCGGGGGTGAGGACGGACCCCGGGGAAGACTCAGATGCATCCAAAAGGCCTCCCACATCGATTTGGACCCGATCAAGGCATGGGAACAGTCCAAACCATTCAGTCCAAAGCATCCGCTTCGGAACAGCTCCAGAGGCGTTCGATCGCTTTTGGTAGGCTTCACAGAAGCAAGCGTTGGGTTGTAGAGGACCACCATGTCCTCAGAAGGTGGTTAGACCCCCCAAATACACCCCAACAATCTTCTCAGGGAGGTAGTTGGAGCCCTATAGGGGTCTTCCATGGGAAAGTTCTCCGCTCGTCACTCACCTGGCAGGTTGAAGATGGTTGAAGTTGTCGAACAAACGGCGTTTCTCAGGTGGTGACCTGATCTCGTAGATGAATGACCCCTATCAGGTACCCCTTGAGATCTAAATTTCCTCCGTAGTTTTTGGGCAATCCAGGCCTACAAAAAGGTGTCTCCAATCACAGTCTCAGAAGGATTGAGGATCCATAGGGGAAGAGCTTGAACCTGAAACTATGCTTTAGTGTCACAAAAGATCAGGTGAACACCGTTCAGCCGATTTCGTGTGTTCGGCAGGTTGTGAAGTTGAGAAGTGGGTTTAGAGTACTCAATCTTTGTGTAGCGCAGGTCACCCACACCTTGGACCTGTCCGAGCCAGCCGTGCCCCACCGTTTTTGGGCAAACAGTTCGATTCATGTCGTATTTCCCTTGCATCACGAAGCCATGGCAAGGGCCTTTGCGTTCTGTCACCCCCAGCCAAAGGCTCAAGAGAGGGTCTCGTACATCTACAGCCTGTCGGGTCTTTTTTCCGGCCTTGTTCTTTTCTGAGACATGAGACTCCAGGAGTTTCAATTGGTGGGCGACTTCATAGCTGAGAACTTGGTCTTGGAACACCTGCTGCTGGATCATTGTGCTGGCTACATCGTCGCTGGGCAGGAATTGGAAGTTGTTCAGTCTTAGTAATGCATGTTTCATCATGTGTCATAGATTATGTTGTATTCCCAGACACTCCATGTATGCCATATATGCCTACATTGGGGTGGTTTAGGGGGTCAATGTAGGCATATATGGCATACATGGAGTGTTTGGGATTGTTGATTGTATAAATTTGAGACAGAGAAGGGTCGGGGAAGGATGGCATGGGTTGAAGACTAGACAGACTGAGCTTTTTTTTGAGGAGACAAACATGTGTGAACACGAAGTCAGATTGACCAAGCTAAGCCGGTTATAATCAGGACAATCCTAGGACACCAATGTTGTTGATGCAGCAGCTGGAATTCAAGTCAATAGGGTTGTTCAATGATGTTTCCCCGAAGAAGCATGAAACTGGAGCATGCACAATGGACCAAGATCGCTGAGCAGGGCTGTTTCCTCCAATTCCAGATTCATGCCATTTAGAGGAGCAGGGCTGATCCGCACACAGCGGGCCGGTTGGGCGGTTGGTTGGATGCCGTGATGGGTCACCAGGGCCCCAAAGCGATTCGACCAAACACCCAGTTGCGCTCGACCATCTCCAGTTGCATCCGCCAGGCCGGTCAAATGGGCCTTGGTCCCACGTGTTGAATGACCATGATCCTTGCCATGGACGACGAGCAAAACAGACGTCTAATCGACTCCCCAGAAGTGAATCGCCAGGACAACATAACAAGTCTTCCAGTCACCTTATTATACTATATTATACTATTTTAATCCTATTTTTGTCATTCAGTGTCATTTGTTTGGCCTAGAGGATGCGTCATGGGACATCCCATTTTGGGGTCAGGTCTTTGTACAAGTGCCTAATCCTTGCATCCGGATTCTCTCACCTCCTGGATGTTCTCATCGAATTTTCCCTCATGGTCGTTGCCCCCTGGTGACCCACATGGATGCGCTCTTCTCATCAAGGCCCGTGAGGATACACCCATTTCTCACCTGGTGGAGAGCCTTGGTGTTTGCAACCCGTGGCAGGCGCAGGCTTCGGTCGCGGTCGCGTGAAGCTTCGGAAGATTCGCTTCGCTCAGGGCGGATCCGCGGCCGCGGCGGATCGTTCACCGGGAGGACGGAGACTGAGGAGTTGGTAGACACAGGTTTCGACCAGATGCTCGAGTTTTCAGGAACCTTCGATTGTCCAAGTATGTAATGAGGAAGGACAAGGAAGGACTCACCAAGATTGGACATTGAAGATGACTGGGCAGCCAAAAGAAGGACCCGCTGCAAAGCACATATATGGCTTGCCAAGGGTCAGGAAGAGCACACTCACCGCCCCTCCTTACATTCCCTAAATTTCCTGGAAGGGCAAAACTCGCACGGGTACCAACAGCCTCAAGCAATCATTGACAGACCAGTAGCGAAACCTCACTTGATGAAAACATGATAGTAACTATACCCATTTGTTACACCATCATATAGGCAAAAACTATCAAAGCGGCTTGATTTCAGCCAAGCCCTGGGCTTCTACAGTGGCCATGTATGCTCATGTATGCTCCATGTAGCCTGGGCTTTGGCGGACAACCTCCCCTGACAGGACCTGATCAGCGATCAAATGGTCCAGCCTCCGCATGCGTCCCGTGATGATGTAGAACGTCACAACATGTTTGCAACGTTCAAGGGACGAGGTGGCTTTATAATATACATTTGTACAGTCATTACAGATGTACCACTTGCCACTGCTGTTCATGGGATCTTGCTGTTCACTTCTTGTGACTGGCCGAGGAAGCTCGCTTTCAATCATGCATTGAGGACTGGAGCTGCAGGGTTCGGCCTTGGAAGATGTGGAAGATGGTCCCTTTGATGGAAAGAAAGACACGTCTCTATAACTAGACACTGGTTGCCTCTCGGTTTTCACAGTGGTTGCCTCCCGGCAAGACCGAGGCAACCGAGTTCTTTGAGTGAAACCCGAGAGGCAACCAGTCAGTCCCAGAGCCCGTGAGCCGTTCGGCGGTGCGAGCGCAGGAGCCTCAGCGTGTGCACCGACCGCATTGACTCGCGAGCCGCCTTGGTCATCGAGGACGGCGAGTTCGCCGATGGCTGATTGGAAGTAAACATGTTTTCCAACACATCGGTTAACGTTCGAAAGGGAGATAGAAGGAAAGTGGGAATATTGATGAATATTGCAGTGCCGTTGGGGGGTCATTGAGGGTTATGCCGCGACTTTGAAGATACTGTAATCACGAAAGCTAGCGAAGCTAGCTGGAGTTACTCTTGCGATAGCAAGGTTTCTTTCGACCGGGTGCAAATCCTAACCCCTGATTTTTCAGGTCGAAGACCCCCCCCCACCCCCTCCCCTCTCCCCTTTCCCCTTTCCCCACCCCACCTCCCCTCTCCTCCTCCTTGTCTTCCTCCCACCTTCCCTCCCTCCCTCCCTCCTCCCTCTTCGCAAGTTCGACTCCGTCCTGTCGTCGCTCTTTGGCATGCGGTTAGCGTTGCGTATCTTGCGGCCGCACTCGCTCACTCTCACTGTCTCACTGTCTCACTGTCTCACTGTCTCTCTCTCTCTCTCATCTCTCTCATCTCTCTCATCTCTCTCATCTCTCTCATCTCTCTCATCTCTTTCTCATCTCTCTCATCTCTCTCTCCTCTCTCTCTCTCTCTCTCTCTCTCCTCTCTGTCTCTCGTCTTTCCGTCTCTCTTCTCTCGCAGGAGGATCCGGGCAAAGAGCCACATATAAAGGACTCTTCACCCCTGCCTCCAAAAAGAGCGCCGTGTTTTTTCCTACCTCGCTGCCCTCCACTTTCCCATTCTGGAGCGCTAGCTTTCGCCCCCCCCCCTTGGCCTCAAGTTACAAAGGCACACCTGCTTTCATTCGCTTTGATGTCACTGGCTTGAAAATTGATCCCAAAAACTACCCACGGCTTGCGGTTATGGGCAAATTCAAGGTTTTCTGGCAAGAACCTGGTTTCAAAGCTTGAAACCCGTAGTTGGAGAGAGAGCACCAAAAACCAGGTTTCTGCATGTTGACCTTGCCTTGTCAGCAAGAAGCTTCTCCTTTTTGGCTGAATCCCATACAAGAGCCCCACAGAGATTATTCTTTTGGAGCCACCTTATCGAAGTGAATCGGAACTCATTCTGAAAAATAGACTTAATCGGTCGGAGTAATTCTATCGGAGCCATTTTTGTGAGCCACCCATCGAAGAGCCATTCGATCGAAGATCACCAGCCCTTTCGCATCTTTTCTCGAAGATCACCAGCGGTCGGGAGACTCAGCCCGAGTAGCCTGCGCACAGATGCGGAAAGCAAAGGAGAGATCCACTCATGGTTTGGCAAACTGCATGCATGCACTTTACGAAGTGTCAGCTTCCAATAATTTGTAAAAGCAAATCCTTCAAACCTTTATTTTTACCTTGTGCATCATCGTCGGAGCCATTTGTGCCTACAGGGTTCTTCGACCTACTCAGCGTTTTGCTGCTTTGCCCTGCCTCCATGCCCTTCAAAGGTGATGATGGGAAGCTGCTTCCGACCTGCGATGTTGAGATGGTGTACAGGGAGTGGAAGGATGATCCCAGTGTCAGGATGGTTGCCTACCGTACTGATCGGATTTTTGAATCCTCCAAGACTGGCACTGATGTTGTGGGTGTGAGGTTCAACATCAAAGATGCTGTCCACAACCAATGTGTCCTGAAGCCTCTACTCCACAGGATGGCACAACACCCCAACCATCCCGTGCCCTATGTGAAGGAACTGGCAAAGGAGAGCTTTGCCCGATCCAGAAGCTTTTTCATATAGCCATGGGAATCCAATAGGGGAGTACAGACTCATTCATCATCCATTGCCCATGGGAAAATTCCAAAACTGTTTATGGGTGACCCTGTGACAACTCTTTCTCTTACGCTCGCCCAGGATAAAGCTATTCAGGACCAAAATGTCTCTTATCCCACAGCCGCAGAAGGTGAAGTTGGATTCATGGACTGCAAAGAGCATGCTCTCATTTATCAAGATGAAAGTTCACAAGAACAAAGGGTCACATGTAGCTTAGCTGCAATGTCAACTTGCATTTTGACGCAGGTTTTCTCTATATAGTTCGGCATTACCTCTTTTGTAAAGTGCAATCAATCGAATTCATGTGGTTCCACTTAAACATGTGAAATCTTTTGGCTATATAGTGCGCATGCAGTTCAAGCTATATATATTCGATGCGTGTTTTGCAGGATTTGCACTTCTTGTCTCTTCAACGCATTCTGGATCCAAACATCCAGGCCGTGCCAGCGCCAAACGCATATGAGTTTGGAATTCAGTGTGCTTGACTATACATTTAAAATCATGCAGGTATATATATATATATTTCTTTTTGGGTCGGGTCATGTTTCTTTTGGAGATCGATCGAGTGTTGCTCCTTTAAATCAATGTTTATCTATACGCTCACCCCTGCAGCCTGTCAACCAATGGGAGCCAGATGGAGCGGAGTCTGATGGAGATGGAGAATCCGGAGCTGCCAGCGACGGCTTGATCTACCAACAAAGCGACTACGAGGAGGAAGCAGAGGAGGACACGTGGTTTGATGACTTTCTCAGCAGTGGCCTTGCGGCCAGTCCTGATAGAGCTGAGGAGGCTCCCCAGGAACCTGAGCCTGCGAAGCATGGACCAAAAGCTGCTGATTCCGATTCTCAACACGACCGTCCAGTTGCCCGCCCACTAGCTGGCCATGATTTGGCAGCCAACCATGATCGGCCGAAGGTGCTTTTGATTGAGGATTCGCCGGTGAAGGTTGAGTGTCATGAGGTGGATGAATCCAGTGCTGTGGCAACCCATTCCATCATGGTGACCAAGGAGCAGGAAGCTCGTGCACTTCGAGAGCAAATTGCTGAGTTGGAGCGTCAAATGGAACAAAGTAAGTTTCGAGCCTAATTGTTTTTGTCTGGTGGTGTAAGTCGATCTTTTGCAATTATATAGATATATGGACTGGTGCCATGGGGGTGTTATACAAGCTTCCTTGTCCGAAGTATGTGCGCAAAGATTTGGAAAATCAGTTCATGCATGCCTGCCATGATAATTCTATATGTTTTTTGATTAGTTCATACCAAACAAGCCATATGTAAACAAGCTGGATCGGTTGCTCAGTGCATGTTCACATGCCCACCTTTCCGGCGTTCCAAGCGTTATACGAAACAACACGTATTCAAGAGTGCTATGCACATGCATATATATGCCCTTGGGCCGTGTACCACATGTGCAATAGTGAGGTTGCTGGACACGCGTATCCAGAACGACCTTGCACAGATTAACAAGCTCACAGTGACAGTGAACGAAAGTCTCCCTATGGCCGCTGACCAAGATGGTACTATTCCTATGGATCTCGCTGCAGGCTCTGAGATGACCGCGTCAGTGGCTGAAATGGTGGCAAGAGGCGAGGCACTCCCACTGCCTTCTCCAGAGAAGCGGGAGGCCAGGGAACTCAAATCACATCATATATTGAAATGACTCGCACATGGTATAAATTCTGTATGTTTAATTGTATGTTGTGCGCCCATATATAAAATCTATAAATTGAATACGTTTGCAAATTCACTATAATGGTGCGCTTGAGGTTCTATACATATGAAATCATTTTTCCATATAATTCAAGTTTCCAGTCGGGGATGTATGTTCTATAGCGTGTAAGATTCCTGCAAAGAGGTCATCACTCGCCGGCAGCAGCTGGGGTTGAATGAGCAGATGAAGGAAGCTTCAAAGGAGAACAAGGGCAGAGGTCGTGGCAGAGGTAGGGGAAGGGGCAGGGGCCGCAAGGATGGCTCTGGGACAGTTGCGACTGGCCCGGTGGAGGTGCCCGAGGCTACGCCTGAGCGGCCAGCCAAAAGGCCAATCCAGAGCACTCCGGAGCGAAAGAAACTGTTCGATGATGGCATGGATGGTGATGCGAAAGAGCCGGAGAATGGTGCGCTGACAGCGTCGCCTCCTGTGAAGCAACCCAAGAAGAGGTCCAGGGCTCCGAAGGCGAAGGCCACATCAGCACCAGTGCCACGGCCGTCATCAGCCGCTGAAGTTCCAGTTGACCCAGCGGAGGAAGCGACAGAAGAACGTACCGCCAAAGGGAAAGCTTCTCAGTCGAAGTCGAAGGCACGAAAAGCAAAGGTCGATGTGGAGAAGGCCATGGCACATTTGGTGGAGGCCAAGCAGGACCCGGCAGAATGGCACCATGCTCTCAAGTTCTTTGAGGCATTCTCGGTCAAGTGTGCGGACAAGAAGGATGTTCCAAAATTTGACCACTGGCGACTTTCTATGTATTGGGATGCCAGGCGGGTGGGACTTCTCCAGGGCAAGGGCAAGGCTGCTACCCATGTGCTAAGCTTTGGTGGCACGTACTGTAGCAATATTGCAGTGCCAGTTTGCGCTTGCCGTTTGTATGTTGGCGGCTTAGTTGCCTCACTTGCAGTGTGCCAACAAGATAAATTTTAAAGATGTAAATCAAAGCAATTTTGGCATATTTACTGATAGCAAATTGAAATGGTGGAGTGCATGTTGGACTTGACTTAACAATGTGTTGCGCATATAGTTTGACTCGTGTATGGCCGACTCCTTTGCTATCAAGAGAAAACCTGCAGTCTTCAATTTGCCAAACATTCGATATTCCGGTAGCCAAGAGTTTAACATAATTCATGTTTCTTTTTTACATCTGCTAAGATCGACTTTGTGGGTGGTGACAAGCCCGCAGAGAAGCTCAAAGCGCTTGACGCTGACGATGTTGAAGGCTACAGGCAGGCGTTGCAGGAGCTTTTGGAGTCTGTCTCTGCCGCTGAATCCGCGGGGAAAACCCCCAAGGACTTTTGATCTAAGAATTGGATCTGTTGGGATTGACGCTATATATGTGGTTATATGTGGTTTAATTGGTTCTCTTCATTATGCTTTTCATCAAAATGTTGCATTGATTCTTGAACGACAAACGGAATTTTGAGTATGTTGGGGTGAAGTCTGTAAAGCGGGCTAGGCTTGAATGGTGTTAAGCTTTGCCTTTAGCATTGCTGGCTATGCCAGGGGATGTGAACAGTATCTGCATCCACTTCGACAATCCTGGAG